TAGGCGGTAACGCCCCTCCATCTGAAAGGTGCTTGGGAGAGCCTCTCCCCTGACTCACCGTGACGAGTATCACCCTAGCCCATGGGGCTGATGGCTCTCTTGCGACAGGGAAATGCATGGTCCTATGCCTGGGGAGGAATAACACCACACGCCAGTACGTGCTGGGGCCAACCATTTGGAAAGCAGCTTTGGAGAAAAAGACCTGGTGGAGTTCCTGGTGGGCAAGAAGTTGAATGTGAACCAGTAATGTGGCCTTCCAGCAGAGAAGGCCACCAGCATCCTGAGCTGCATTAGGCAGAGCATTGGCAGCAGGGTGAGGGAGGTGATTATTCCCCTCTGTTGAGCCCTGGTGAGACCTTGTCTGGAGTGCTGTGTTCAGCTGTGGGCTCTCCAGCACAGGAAAGACATGGACAAGCAGAGCAAGTCCAGTGAAGGGTCGTGAAGAAGGTTAAGAGATTAGATCTGTTATACAAGAACTATCTAGTTTGAAGTTCTCTATAAATCTAGCTTTAGGATTTCCTGCCCAAAGAGGAGTATAGATTCACTGTATTCTTGCAAACACAAAGAGTTGGTGCAAGCTTGGAGGCTGCTGTGCTGCTGCAGGCGGGATGGGCTGGAGCGTCCTGCAGATGGAAGTTCTGTGTGGGCTCTCTGGCAGCTGCTCCACGGCAGTGTGCAGAATCGGAAAGTCTCTGCTATCATGGGTTCCACTTATTTATTTTTTTATTTAGGTTAAGAGTGCTTTACACGTTCTCTCTAAAACTTTTTGATAGGACCATTTTCCTTCTTTCAGAGCCATTCAGTGTAGATCTGTAATGCTACCTAATCAGCCAGAGAGACCGCAACAGAGCATTAGTCTTGCTTCTAATTGTCCATTTAGCAAGAGGGTGCACAACGGGTTGCAGTTAATTCTGCGAATTTACTCAGGTAATGGCTGAGCATTTTTCTAGTGTTAAAATAGAGTCATTTTGACTAACTGAGAAAAAAATATGTCTGTGGCTGCTGCTTGTGGGATCAGATTAAAGAGAGGTTATTAAGCATTTGAAATAACTATTGAAGTTATCCAAACAAGCTTCTTATGGCTCTTACACTTGTAAGAGTGTAATTTTACTGTGTAAACCAATTTTGTAGAAGTGGTACCTTTTTCTTTCATTGAACTGTTTATACATGTATCCAGTAATTACTTTTGTATTGCGTTTTGCTTAAGATAGCCTTACAGAACTGACATATGCCAGAGAGAGCTGCAGTGCGTTCATAGCTGCATCAGGGCAAAACTGCGGACGCTAGTGGAGAGCTGCACTGGAGGAACTGACGTGGAGCTTGTGGGTATTAGGTTACACAGATGCCTTTGCTATCTAATCTGTCTTAAACGAATTGGTAATGATGGTGAAGCCTGCAAGTAAAAAACAAACAAACAAACAAACAAACCTGAGTTCAGTTCTTAGTACCAGGTCCAGAGGTTATTTAGCAGTTACAGAAAACGGTATTACTCACAGCATGTTTGCTTTACAGTGATTTCAAGGAGCGCTAGTCAAAGCTCCACACAGTGATATTCATTACTCCCCATTCTTCAGTGCAGAACAGCATATGTTTCTGCATTCGTTGATTTGTGCAAGAGTTACAGCACTGTAAGATGCAAGTTACTATCTGTAACGTTTTGTGTCTAACAGAATTATTGAAGATAGAAATCTGACACTGTGGATCTTGCACTGTATTCTTTCTTTCAGAAGCGTAGATTGAGTTGACAAGATACTAATACATTAAGAGAGTATTTTGTTGCATGTTTTATGTTCTGGGAACTGCTGTTTATATATACTCTTTGGCCCAGGTTCTAGAACAGCAGCCAGTTTCACAAACAGCAGCAGTAATTGACTAAAAAGGCGCTAGAACTTCTTAGAACTGAAGTTCCCTAGGGAATATATATGTTTTTTTGGAGAGGAGGCAGTGGTAATCCTGACGCACTGCCTTTTGTGCTCTCAAACGTTTTTTACGCAGATTATTATTGCTAAGACTATGACAGCTTAACTGTTTTTTATTGCAGTGTTGATAGGTGAATTTCTGTAATATTGTGTACTTAAATGTTTTCATGTTGTTTGATTTCTTTTTTGAAACGATGAACTGAGCTTTGAAGTCATTTTTCCATATACACTGATAATTTTTTTTCTATGTGGATAACTTCATAATAAGTAGAAAAATTCAGCTGTTTCAGAAGAAAATCAAAGCTGTTACCCACACCCCAGATGGCTGTCAGGCAGTGGTCTGTCAGCATACTTCATCCCTCTGTCTCCACCACCTTTTGTTGCAATGGCAAGATGCCTGTGACCAGAGTGTCAATAATTTAGTCTCCTTTACTGGAGACTTGATGAAAAGGATGAAGATCTAGGCACTTCCTTAAATGTTGAGTTTTATTAATTAAGGTATAAGAAAAGGTGCTTCTTGTAATCGCCAGCTCAGAATGTCAGCCTTACCTTGCATCTCGTTCATGTAGGACATTTTCTGAAGTTCACTGATGTTTCTGTAAAGGTTCCTATTGACTTGACTTGGTGATTGATTTCAAAACAGAAAGAACAACTGCTTGTACCTTAATTATTGGAAATTTCACTCTTAAAGGCATATTTCATTGTATAAAAGTTTATTGATGTGTTGAATTAGACAATATTCAGAATTATCTTGTTTATGGTTATAATGTACCAAATATTTGTCCCTCTGTTTGGAATTAGGAACAGACTGTTTTCTAGCTGATTAAATGCAGAAATTCAGAAAAGGGAGAGCTGGTTAGAGAAGCTGGCTTTGTCGTAGAATACATCCTTACTTACCTAGACATAATGAGGACATAATAATTTAAAACTGTTAGTGTTTCAGATAACTGGGATTTTTCAAAGGTCTGCTGCTCTCTTTTGGTAGCAATGGTTTGGATAGCCAAGTTTGTATGATGGACCAAAATACGCACCAACACAGGTATATTAGAAGTTAAACTATATCTTACCGTTTTCCAGCGTTCTGTCCGTGGAATGTAACTTAACAGTGGGGGCTTCAATTAGGAGTGGAGAAAGCATATTTAAAAGTTCATCAGCCTTATATGGCTTCACTTTGAGTCTCACTGCAAGCTGCATTCAGAGATTGTTGAGGCCTTTGGGATGCTTTACGGACTGTACGTTAAGAACTCCTCTTTGTAGTTTTGAAGAAGCTTTTACCATCTGTGTGCCTGACTTTGATACATGTGGTTTATGTACTATTGTGTTGAGTGCACATGGAAAATTAAGTCTGAGGGTATTCTGTATATCCTCCAGGATCACAGACTTCAGGAGATGATTAGGAAAGTATTTTGGAGTCGTCATAATGTTGAGGTATTCAGACTACATCTTACTACAAATTCTCCAAGTTGCCCATGCCTTGAGGCACAAAAATCTCAATAAAGATTTCCTTGGCTTCTTTTTGACTCTCCAAAGATCCTTCGGGTTGTGGACAGGATGCATAATTTGCTCTTGAACAATCAGGGAAGAAGTCCAGTGTGTGTCTGGTAATGCTTTGCATGTCAATTTAGTCGAATGTAAATGTGTAGACTGCACCAATCATAATTGAGGAGAATATTGCGTATATGCTGAGATAACAATGAACTGGAGGAAGAAAAGTTTCAGTGCAAGTATATGTATTTTAAGGTAAACGTAATAAATCTGCATTGCTTGTTATTCTTTCATAAAAAGTATATGGATTTCGGCAACGTAGGTAAAAATTCTGCAGTTTTATTTATGCAGGAGTTCCTACCAAAGTACAAAGAAAGCCTGCTTGAATAGGTTAGTTTCATGAAAAAAGCCGCAGTAGACTTGGTTTTGGTGAAGTCTTGTAGAATGCATTCAAGTGTATAGAATAAAAGAGATTTTGTTTGTTTATTTTTTAAACAGTAAGTGATATTAAGCATCACTGGGAAGACTTTGGTATTTGGTGATATTTGAGGCAGCAGTTACATAAGTCCACTTAAGAGTCAGCTGCCTAAATGCATATGTAAAATATTTTCGTGCATACTTCCAAAGATCTTTTGGAATAAGTTAACTTGGATTTTTGTCAGCTTCTTGTGGGTCGTTGTAGCTAATCTTTGTTTCCCTTTGAACAGCTTCTCGCTTTGTTTTTGTTTCGCTTTCAAAAGCGTTTTGGGTGTCTGAATGCAGGCTGGGGGAAAAAAAAAACCAAACCTCAAGACCTGTTTTCGTTACTGTTGGGAGTGAAGAGTTAATTACAAGAGGAAAACATTGATATTGCTAAGCTGATATTCAAATATTTACTGTTTGCTTCTTAATTCTGCTCTTTTGAATGAATTTCACTGAATTGCTCTGTTGTCTCTGCCTTATTCTGCCCTTTGGTGAACCTGTAACTCAGGTTTACTGATGGGTGATAATACTGTACAGGTCAGGAAATTGAAAGCGTCAAATTTTTCTGGTGTGGGCATAAAAATAGTCTCTCTAGTTTCTAGAAGGTTGAAATATTTTAAAACCTAAAAGAAGTCCTGATACCTATAGTTGCGTTTCCATGTTTCATACCTAGGGAATGAATGCTTTATTTTCTTGTCACGGAGCAAAACAGCTGTAAATAAATGGTGTGGCAACCCCGTGATGAAAACTGTTGTGTTGTTTTAAATTGCAGTCACTATACATTCCCAGTAGCCTGTCTATTGAGTTTGTCAAGTTTTGGAATTTGATACTTTACTTTGGTAGGCCAGCTCTTACAGGAAACGGTATGTTTACTTTAGCTGTATGCATGTCTGCTCACTGTATATAAATTGATCTAGCTATAACCATATAGGAAAAGCCATTTATCTTTTGCCAGTTAGTCTATGATTTTTTGATTTTTGATCTTTTGTTTTTGTTTTTTTGTTTTAACAGAAGTCCTTATTTTTTTCCAGGCTTCTTGAACTGAACACCCCCCCCCCAAAAAAAAAAAAACCAACCCCTTACTATTATGAATACTACTTTACAAAATAAGATTTGTTTTCTTTCCTCTTTCAGATGAGAACTCTCCAGCTAATTTCTGGGATTCCAAGAATCGGGGAGTGACTGGCACGCAGAAAGGACAAATTGTATGGCGAATTGAACCTGGCCCATATTTTATGGAATGTGAGTATATATTTATGCAATGTAAGGCAAGTATGTGATTGTGTGAAGGCATGCCAACAGGATGGCACTTAATATCCAGACTCTCTTAAAAAGCAAAGGAATTGATATTTCTCTAAGGGACATCCTTTTTTTAATGTCCTTGCCAGACATCACAAAAAATGGAGTTGAGCTTAGGTGTGCATCTGTAATCTAGGGATGTTCTTAAACAGCATACTTCAGCTGAAGGGAGGAAGAAATTGCCTTGTGCAATGTCGCATAGTATACATGCATTGAAATAAGTTTAAAATTTTAACTGGACAAAACATTAATGACACATGCACACAAAGGAAAAGATAATAAGCTGGTAGTGCTAGTGTTTGTTAATTTTGAGGTTAGATTTGTCTTTAGAAAGCCGCCTGTCCAACCACTTGAGGATTTTTCAGCTGAAATTTTGGTACACTGGAAAATCGACCAGGCAGCTGTGAAGCATTGAAAGACTCAGTCAGACCGGAAGGAACAGACTTCAGATGAGCTCCGTAAGAAGTATTGGTAGTGAAGCTTCAAATCTGAGTGGTATGCCACCCCTTTGATTTATAGGAAGCTAAGCCACTCTGCTGTGTGATTATTTTTTTTTTTGCTGTTCTTTGCTTTTCGATGAAAAGGCGTTACCTTACCGTCTAAAATATTTGGTTTCCTGAAGAAGTTGACGTTGAAATCCTAAAATGGTGGATGTGAGCTTGTTGAGAACTGATGTGCCTAGCGTCAAAGTGGCAATCTGTCCCAAATGAGCTGTGAGCTGTTCTGCCGCCTGTTTAGCTTCACAATCATGAATCTTGCTTGATAAGTTAGAAAAATATATATACTCCCACTCCATTATTACTTCACTGCACCTTGCGATGCTGCTAACTGTAGCTCTTGGCACAAATTCTTTTTCTAATTAACTGATATAACAGCAATATGTCTATTTCAAGAGGTGTTGTGTACCCTTTACTATAAATAATTGTTAAAACTTCATGTTTCTAAAGCTCTTCATTGGATCTTGCCAAGTTACCCTATGCATTACACAGCAGATTTTTTTTTTTACAAATGCAATACAGCAATATTCCACTGGAGTGGAAAAAAGCTTTAATAGGATAAAATCAAAATCAATTTCAGGAGTTCATTACAAGAAAAAATGGTTGAACTGAAGATAAAGATCAAGAAAATAATGAACGTGAAGAAGATAATTAAGCTCCTGGTGCCAAAGACAGTGATATATTAAAGCAGATTCAGAGGTATGTTAGAAGAGTTCCTTGCCTCTTCCTTCTTGTAGATGCAGACTATATCCATGGTGTTGCCAATACTGGCAGTTTGACCTCAAGGGTGTTTGTTTATATCTTTCAGCTGGCTTGGTGTTGCTCCATAATCTATTGTCATGAGGCTCTTGGACAATATGTTTAGTTCATGTGAATGACCTAGGCTGGTACTTCAAGAATTAGCAGTTTTAACTTAAAATCAGCTGCAACTGACTTTGCACTTCATAACCAACTGCACTTTGCAACCGGCCATTACCAAGAGTGCAGCGTATGTGTTCCTCGATCATGGGCAGTGTTACCAGTTCTGCTACCTTATTAGGAACAAGAGACAAGCAATTATGCAGCAGTTGAGAACTGTAAAAAGGGATGTTGATGAGCACATGTTGCTGTAGCACATAGTGTGGCAGATAAATATGTCACCTGTGAAATTTGTGTTTCTAGTGAGAGGCCAAAAATTGCACTGAGAAGGCTTAACTGAATTTCTGATCCGCCTGTGTAAAGTGGAAGCCTGCGCAGATCTGTGGCAATGTTTGCTCAGCAAGGCTTCTATTTTTAGCTAATATGGGGAGATGTAATGTTGCTGTGACTGCACACGGCTGGATTCCCCCACCCCCTCCTCACATCACTAAATCCCAGCTCTGGCAAACGCAGTGAGTGGCTGTGCAGTTCAGATATGACCGCAGCTGGGGGGGCTATGCCATGCAGCACCAGGCTGCGTGTGGGGAGCGCTACGCCCTGTGTCTCCCAGCTCATCTTCTCCCTGCGTTTTGCAGACGGGGACGCTGTCCCAGCCTACGCCAGCTGTGGTGAAAAATGGAGCCCCCCCCCCCTTAGCCTCTTTCTCCTGCCATGGCACTGATACAGTTTGTGCTTTCAGTGCCGCACATTGCGTGGCGCTGCTGTCATGGCAAGGGAGCAAGAGAGAGAGGCATATGGAGAGGCTGATGCCCCCAGTAAGCATGGGCTGGTTGTTACAGTTAAGGTCTCTCTGATGCCTTAATCTGCTGTTGTTTTCCAAACATTAGAACAAACTCTACAAGTGTAGATTTCTTACGTTTGGAAATATCATTATCAAGAGTCAGAAGATATCATACCCAGGTCATGGTATTAGGGGTTTGTCGTGTTTACTCCTCGCAGTAATGACATACAGCAGAGCATTAGCAACTCTGCAGTGCTTCTCTAGGAATGGAGGGAACACTTAGGGAACAATTCCAGGCTCGGCAGCAACGTCCCCAATTTTTTAAGCAACTGATGAGCAGGGTTGCTCCACCCTTGGTGCAGAGACTAGCAGGTGGAACCTGCAGAGTTTCTCTTGACCTTGTCCTCTGGTCGTTGCTCATGCTCTTGACATGTGTGAGCTCCAGAGGGCTGCTGCTAAGCTAAATATGTAACTGAGGTAGAGCTGGGCTTATGTGACTATAGGGTTTGTAGCTCAGAGATGTTCTGTGTTCGTCTGCTTGGAGCGCAGGCAGCACTTGATTGCACTACCTGTATGCTTGCTGCTCTACCTGTATGACTGGCAGGCTCCCTCCTACCTATACATGAGGAGAGGAGGGGGTATTAGCCACAGGCTTGAGAAACCTTGAGCCAGCTCTGGCAATGAGAACTCATACACGCCCATAAACAGAGTTACGTTAAGTAAGTATGATAATTGTTTAGGAATTACAGTCAAAAGATAAATGAAACTGGCCTGAAGTTGTTTGTCTCTTTGGCAAGAAAAGCAACTGCAGAATTTACTAATGTAGAATAATGAGTTGAGATCCGTCAACATGCAGATTGCCCCAAAGAGTTTGATTGTATTTTTTTCCCTAGCATTGTCAAAGCTTTGGGAGACTGCACATCTTTTCACCAGGAAGGCTATAACAGGCTATAACATCTCTGTAGGGCAAAGTGCGGAGGACGATAGCATAGCTAACAAGCCATGTGCAAATGAATTTCATGCAGAAGGAATATTTCTATTTTAATTACATTGATATTAGCTCAGTAGGAGTCTGCTGGATTAGGATATCAGACTCCTGCAGTCCTCAGGTTTGTATCTTTTAAGAAAAGCCTCTTAGGCCTTTATTCAGGACCTCATGCTGTTATTCCATTGTCAACATATTAATGGTTTGATTAAAGTCTGTGAAATTTTTGCTTAATGTTAGACCTTGGTTAAGCATTTTTCTGAATTTGGCATTACTGTGTGTCTGTGGTCTCGTAATACAATTTTCGAGGCATTCAGTTTGTTCTTCTTAAAACCCCTCCTCGTAGATTTAGCGTCTCCTATTTCCCGAGCAACTAACACGTAAAGGCGTGGTTTGCCATCTCCTCCCTTCAGATCAGGCAATCCACAGAAAGAGGAGGAGGGAGATGCTCATCACGTTTGTAGTAAAGAGACATCAATCCTCCCCTTCCTCCCCCACAAAGCACCAAAAACTAGCAAAACAAATATGATCAAAAAAACCTCTCACTAGCTTTTGACAAAAGCCAACACAAAAAATTTCCATGGACTGTGCCCTGAGAAGGGGGAATCACAAGAATCAGCAATGAAATAATGAGAAACAAACTTAATGTGTTCCAGAAATAGAAGCAACCTCAGAGGGGAGTAGCTGAGGGGAGAGAAAAAGTGTGCCGAGAGGAAATAACATACTTGCAAAGTACAATCTCCAGCTCACCATCACCAGCAGCTGGTGCCCTTAAGCTGTCACCGCTAGATGAAGTGGCTGGCTTTATGTTGCAGAGCCAGCCGCTACAGAGGCAGGGGCTCCGCTTTTCTTTCCCTGGGGAAAGACCAAAAGTGCGTGTAAGCATGAAAAGGAGTTCTGTCATTTTAGAGATTCAACAAAGTGAATATGAGCATCAATATCCCTTTCATTACTTACATAATAGGGGTGGTTTAAAAACTTTCTGTTTTGAGGCTTGCTAAAATGTGTGGGAAGGAAAAGTGACTCGCTAGAGTTGTTGGTTGCATAAACTTCGGAAGGGTTGTTTGTTGTTCACAGCTCCACAGAGTTTTCTTCCTTCTGTAAAACAAAGGGACAAGTTTGAGGAGCGTTACTCTGAATAGGTGGCAACAGTGTGATGGTGCAACACAGCTTAATGCTTTCATGGATTGTGAGTGTTTGGTGTGGTTATCTAGCAGTTGGCCTGACATCAGCCTTTTCCTTAAGTACAGCAGGTCCTTCAGCCCCTGACGCAACAGAGGCTGCAAGTGCCCTAGAAGTGATTTAACATGGCAGGGAGTTTCCCTGGGTGTGCCAGTCTGTGCACTTGGGATGGTGATGGCTCCCTTTGGAGTGTCCTGCTGGAACAGACATGACAGTATTCCTCACGGAGAATAGAGGTAGCAGAAAGATGCATTGAAATGGTTGGTGGAGAGGGTAGCAAAAGAAAAAGAATATGAAAGGAACCTTGAGTCTTGTGAAGGTTAGTTCATAAAAACAGTAGCCCATTTAGAAGCTGCAGCTTCTAAATTTGCATGGTGACAGTTAAGCGGTATAGGTGGTCACAGGCCTGTACCTGAGTCCATGCTATGGCCTTATTTAGTTTATTAGTGTAGGCACAGAGGCCAAGGGCCTCCTTCGAGATGGGTTTCCTGGATTGGACCATAAGGTCATATTGATTTGTATTTGTCAGCTTTATTCTTGGTCCTATGAATATTAATTTCAGTATCCTCAAGAAAGACCTTCCTCTGCTTTACTCATAGTGAAATATTTTGGCTAGTATTTATAGTATTCTATATCATAG